GATTCTGGCGGTCCAGTCGCTCTATGATCTGGGCATCGGCCTCGGCCGCGAGGCCGCCCAAGGCCCTGCGCGCCCCAGCGTCGTCTGGACCGCCCGCGCGCTCTCCGCCCATTCCGCCGCCGTGGGGCGACTGGCCGGTGAGCTGCCCAAGGACCGAGGGCCCGTCGAGGAGTGGATTGATGCCGCGGGCGGAACCCCCGCGACCCTCGCGAGCCAGCACGTCGCGATCTCCCAACAGGCCGCGACGCGGGTCCTCGGATCAAGCGGCGGGGGCGGCTCCAAAGAGCTCGCGCCGGGGAGCCCGCCTCGGGCTGGGATCCCGACCCCGCGCCGAGCGGCTGCGCGATCCTTCGCGTGATAGGCCGCCCTGCAGGGGAACCCGGTCGCTGGCCGCGGCGCGCTCTCGCGCGCGCGCGTCTAGCTGCGCGCCCTCAAGATCCGCGAGAGCGTACTCCAGATCGGGCCCGAGGGGGCCCGTCGCGGCAGCTTGGGCGGCCCTCCCCCGTAGCTGCCGATCCGCCTGGTCGAGCGGGACTCCGAGTAGGTCCGCGGTCATACCCAAAGCACTGAGGGCCGCCGCTTGTCCCCCTCGCCCCTTGAGGCCCTCCGCCCGTAACGTGTCCATGAATATCTCGAGAGGATCGGGATCCTCGGCGCCCTCGCCCGCGCCGGCGGCGGTCGCCGCCGGGCGCGGCGAGGGCGCCACCGGGGCTGGTCGGGGTAACCCCTCGATCCGCGCTGGGCGCGAGCTGTGCCCCATGGGCGCCGCCCCTCCAGTGGCGGCCAAGCGCGCGTCCCGGGTCGTGCTGCACTTGCTGGCGCTCTGCGCTGGTCAGGTAGCGCCGCCTCCAGCCGCTCGCGCTCTCCACGCCCACGCCGCCCCACTGCTCCTGACGCAACATCGCCAGCAGATCCTGCGGGAGATGGTGGGCGGCAACACGCAGCCCCACCTCCCGCGCGCCTTGGGGGGACCTCGCACAGCAGACGATTGATCCAATCAATCGGGCAACGCCCATCCCCCAGCGGGGGCGGATGCCGCACGACCTCGCTGGCCGGGACCTCCACCCGGACACCCTCAAGGCTGGTCCCGATGATGAGTCGGGCGCCCCCGCCCGTGCCTCGCACGTCGAGTCCCTCGCATTCACCCAATAGGATGTACCAAGGGCTCGCCGGGGGCGCGCCATGGGCGCCCTCGACCCCGCAGGGGTCGTCTGGGAGGATAGGGCAGATCTTCACGAGGATGGGCTCCTGAAGCCACCCGTGGTGGGCGATCCGGTCGCCCGGGGCCCCACGGTCGGCGGACCGTGAGCGGTCGCTGGCCCTCGCTTCCGCGGATCGAGATCGACGCGGCTGCGGACCGGAGGCCAGAGCCTGGCCCCTCGAAGTATCGGGGTCGGCGGTCGGCGCTGCAGCGGGCGGCGGCGGCGCAGCAGGCGGAGGGTAGGCCGCTCCGTGCGCCAAGCTCACCCCCTCGGCGGCATGCGCGGTCCAATCGCGCGCCCTGGCGGGGCTCGGCACCCGCGCCCTCAGGCGGCGGCGCAGGCCGCCGAGGATCCCTGGCTGGACTGTTAGTCTCGACACGCACGGTTGGGCCCTCGTCTCGTCGAAGGCGCTCGCCGCACATCGGGGCTCCTCCGCAGCTGCCCTTCGCCATGCGGAAGCATGTGGGGAGGCTGCACTTGCGGCCGATAAGCGTGGACCGGTACTTCTGAGCGTGATGGGCGCAAAGGTGCACCTGTGCGTTGAGGCAGTGCCCCGGCCGGGGGACGTCCGATACCTCCGCATCCTCTTGCAGCAGGACAGTCGCCTCTTGCATCCCGCGGTCTCCGCAGCCCTCCGGCTGAAGGGGGCGCGCCCCGCCCGCCAGCTGCACGCCAACTTGGGCGGCCTGGCACGGGCGCCCCTCCGCCTCCACCTCACTTTCCGAGTCTATATCCAGGCGACGGATGTAGCGCGGCTCCGGTCGCGCGCGGCACAGCCACCCGCGCACTGTCCACGGCAAACAAATCAGCCATGTGAGAAGCACGAAGACCTTCCGAAGCCCCACGCCGACGGCCCGACAGGCGGTGGCCTTCCCGTGCTCTGCTAGGTCCACGATCTGCGTGTGGTCGATGGCAGCGTACTGGTCGACATGCATGGGGTGCGCAACTGGGCAGGACGCGCACTCGACGGCCCAGCATAGATGCACGTTGCCAGTCTCCTCGAGGTTTAACCGCCACTTGCGGCTGGTGCACCCGAGGACCTGCCCGATCTTAACGTTGAGACCGTGGCGATCCAGGCGGTACCTATCCGCGAAGTTGCAGCTGACGCGCGCTACTTGCCCGTGCTTGCGCAAGAGCACGTGGTTGTACGCGCGGTTGGTCCCTCGGCCACGCACACCCTTAGTGTAGAACTCCGTCTCCACCACACCGCCAACCCCCGGCCCGCGCCAGCGCACCAGCAAGGGAGCAGGGGGGGGAGGGGGGAGATGGGCGCCGGGCCCGTCGCCTCCGCGCCGCTGACAGCACCAGGTGATCTGATACCAAGCCCAGCGAAGCCCGCTCGCCACCCACAGCATAGGCTGGGCCGCTGTGTTGATGATGAAGGCAAGGGCGCCCAGCACGAACGTGAAGATGCCCAGCGCGAAGCAGAGGACGGCCGTCTCCCACCAGTAGCCAAGCATCTTAACGCCCAGCCGATCGATGGCGGATCCAACCCAGCCACCGCTCGTACGGATCGAGCCAGTCTGGTCGGGTGAGCTCACCCACGCGCCGTAGCCCACGAACTCGAGGGCCCAGGCGGCGAAACCCCAGCCCGGCCCCGGCCCCGCCTCTGGGGGCGGTGTGGGCGGCGGAGGCGGCAGGGGTGGCGTCGTCCGCCCAGCCCACCAGGGGGGCAGGCTCGGTACCCAACCGCTCCACCCCCAGTATCCATCCGGCCCTCCCGGCTGGCCAAGCTCGCCTGCGCCAGTCCGGTTCTCCGGTGCAGCAGGCTGCTCACGCGCGCCTCCGGGTCCGGCGCTCTCCACACGCCCAGACGCGGCGGGGCTACCCGTAGGTTCGCCCCCACGCGCGCGACTCGAGCCCGCAGGGGGGGGGGTTCGTCGTCGACCCTGCCTGCGATGGCGGAGGGGTGATGGGCACCCCAGGGGGCTTGGCCATAGGCCCTCGCCCCTTCCCTTCTTCGGGCGCGGGCTTGGCAGGCGGTCCCCGCCCTTTGCCATGCCCCCCACCGCCCGCAGGCTGGGGTTTCGGTCCGGGCTTGGCTGGTGGCGTCGGCGCTGGGACCTCGTCCTCCGCGCGGCCGAAAGGCAACCAGCTCATCGCCCCTTGGACCGAGAAAGCTCCACCCATCACCAGTATCATCAGGTGCGCCCCGAGGAAGCCCACAGCCATGGCACCGCAGCCGCGCCCCCTAGTCCGCAGACTAGCACGACTGCGGTTATGGCCGCACCGCGGCCCCCTGGAACACCCGCGCGTCGGCCTGAGCCGAACGCTACGTCAGCGAGGCCCTGGTGTCCACGCTGCAAGGCTGCCGCCTGTAGCGAGGGTATCACACGTCCAGAATGGACGTTGAGCCACGCGTGGTCTTCCCTGATCCACACTCGATAAGGGGACCGCGCCTGTTGAGTCCCATGCGGGGCCTCTCGTTGGATCACCTTCACGTTCGCGGCTCATGTGGCCGATGATGGTACCGATGGTCAAGGCAGATACCCATGTACCACGGTTCCCAGAAAATTGATTCTGCTGGAGGTGGAGGTAATTTATGTAAATCTGGAGGTGGCAAATTGTGCAGGTTGTGCTCCTACGATCGGATGGACACAGAGAATGACTCGCGAGTCGGCGAGCCTGTAGGTCGGAAATGCACGGGACGGTCGCGTCTCCACGCACGAAGGTTGATCGGGTCGATGTTGAAGAGGTCGTGGCGGATGTCGCGGTGGAGCTGGAAATCATTCGCGTCTCCACGACCGAAGGTGAATCAGGTCATAATCGAGGATGCAATGGTAGATGTCGCGGAGAATTACAAATCATTCGCGTCTACATGAAAGAAGGTGGACGAGGTCGTTGTCGACGAAATCATGGTATAGTTGAAAATCATTCGTGTCTCCACGAGCGAAGGTAGACGAGGTCACATCGCTCTTGTTGTAGTCGTCCCGCGGGCGGAAGCCCATGCACGTGTTGTACGTGAGGGCGGTGTTGAGCAGAGCTGCCACGGTTTCAGCAGCTCCGCTGCCAAGTTGAGCGAGGTATTCCAAGCCATAGGATGAGTCTTTGGATAGACGATGGGTGGAACAGGATGGTGGTGGAGCAGGAACGGGCACTTGTTTTCTACACCACCGCTGATTGTGTGCTGGATACGGCGGCGCTGCCGTGGGCCGAAACACCAGCGAAAGCAGGCAAGTATAGGTCCCCACCTTGAGACGTACCATCAAAGTCGCGTCGCGCAGAAATCAGGAAACAAATCACCGCTTTCCGCCTCTCAGGGCCCTCGCCGGGCCCTGAAACCGTCCAAAAGCAACTCGGACTGAAAATCCCGCCTCGGGGAAAGGGTCGGGACTTCTGGGGGCCGCGCAGGGCCGCGCATTGAAAAAAACAACAGCAAAAACATCGCATGTCTGGGAACACCAGCACCACCACCACCACCACCACCACCAACACCACCACTATGCCTGGCCAGGCATAGCGGCGTACAGGTATCATCTGCGGATAGGGCTCCCCCCGCTGCACCAACCAGCCTGGCCGTCCTTCTCAATCCCCTTCCCGACTCCGAGTCCCCGCCCTGCCACGGGAGATGCGGCGAGAAGGGGCGGGAAGATGGAGCCCTCTCCTCCCTCCGACGTCGCAGACGTTATTCGCGACGTGGGCCCGTGGGGATCTCGACCCGTTCCCCGTGGCCCGCTCCTCGTCCCCAGAGCCCGAGACCGTCGAAAACCGACCGTCGCGATCATTCTCCGAGGCCCAGATCTGGGGGAGGGGATTGGGGAGATCAGACGGATTGCTGCGACGGGGTCCCCCCAGAACTGCTCCACGATGCGCATCAGCACCAGCGGGTCGCGCTCTGGACTGTTGATCCAACCCAGAGCGTGCCGCCGCTGGCTGCTGCCCTCGAGCACTATGACGACCATTGCCTACGAGGACGCCAACTCGGCACCCACGTCGATCCTGGCCAGGCGCAAGCTCGGTACAGGATCGGCGTACACGACCTCCTGAGGCCAGGATCGGCTGGACATGTCTACCAGAGATCCGACGTCGCAAAAAAAAAAAAGACATGGCCAGAGCCCTTGACCCCGACTTTCTGCGGCATGTCTCGAGCCAGATCGACCCGCGAGGGTCCCGTGGTCCGAAATCAAGCGAAAAAGCCCGTGTGACGAAATGCCACGCCACGGTCCGATGGCAGTTGGCGCCCCCCGACTGCCCCCACAGCAACGTTCACCAGGCCAGCGCCGTCCGGGCTCGCCCTCGGGAGCACGGGCCGCGTCTTGTCCGGCCGCAGGCTGCTGGAGTCGCCGGAACGCGCGGCCGCGATGGCGCCCATGCACGGCTTGCATTCCTGGGGGGCCCAAAACTCCTTGCGCCGTGGAACGAAAGTCCAGATACGGAAGATGTGAGGCTATTTTCGGCCTCGTGAGGTCCTCCGCTGGGCCCCCAGACCGTCAAGGAAAACGGCTCATGATGAAAGACACAAGACCAAAAGCAGACGTGCGAGGTCCTCATTTCTCTGGCCCCTCGTGGTGCATGTATTACTCCCCGTTCGCTACCTCGCCCCTTCCTCCTCCATCCCCTCGCCCCACTCATGTCTGTTGTTCGTTTTCGTTGGCCTCGCGCCAATCGTTAATGGATCGCCATGTGTAACATATTTTTCTAACCCCACGAGTTAGGTGTCGGCGTATGCTTGTTGGCCTCCGAGGTGTGGTCGAGCCGCCAGCTCGGGGACCACCGATACGGCGCACGCGGACGGACGCCTGAGCCTCCGAAGCGTCCCTGAGATCCGACGTTGCGAAAAATTTGCAGCACCGCGAAAAAATACGACTGGAGCTCTAGACCCGATCTTTCTGCTGCATTTTTCGGGCCCGATCGAGATGTGATGGCTCTAGGGCACAGAAATCACGCGAAATCGCCCGGCGTGAAGAAGATAGCAAAGCCTGGCACTCAAAGTTGACACGCCCGAGGCGGGGACGGAAAGAACGAGGGCGATGCAAATGGGGCCGGACGGATGTCGACCCCTGTCCCAGGCTCCGTGGGGCTTCCAAGGTCGGCTCCTCAGCCCTCGCAATTTCCTGTCGGTCCCAGGGCCCAGAACTGGCTTCCAAAGGTCGGGCGTTGGCGGAACTGGACTTAGTGGGACCTGGCTTAGTGAATATGCCCTCTCCGCCACGGTTAACTAATCGGAACTGCCGCCACCCAAAGAACACCACCTACGGCAGACTTGGTTTCATGATTCTGATTGTGATCTCTGTTGGGCTCTGGGGCCGAAACACTGACCCGCTCTCCGTAACATGGCACCCGGCTATGTCCGAAAAAGGCGGGAAGCGCAGAGAAGCCGGCCGCCCCAAGGAGATACACCACCACCACCACCACCACCCTCAACTCCTCTGGCCTCCTCCTCCTCCTCCTCTTCCCCTCCTCTCCTGGGCGAGGGAAGGGGCAAGGATGGCGGTGGTGGTGTACTCCCCTGGGCCCTCTACTTTATGCTGCGATGCCCAGGGCTGTAGGTCCCGCCACCCCGCGACGAGGATCGCGGACGGCGCCACCGCCCCGCGCGGCTGCGCGAAGAGCCACCGCACGAAGGCCGACTCGTTGCTGCAGCGGACGAGCGGCGCGGACAGGGCCGCCTCCAGGGCCGCCAAGGCGGGGCCGGCGCCCAGGGCGTCCCGCTCGGACACGCACCATACGATCTCGCCGTCGGGCACGCGCATCGCGGCCAGCCGCCCTCCCCGGCACGCCCTCGCGAGCCTCCGCGGCCACCGCGCGTGCCCTTCGGCGGGACGCAGAGGAACAGACGAATGCTATGTGTCCTCCCTGGAGGCGTGCGCCCGACCAGATCACGCAGCAGAAAAAACACATGTTGCGGTGCATCGTTTCCCGAGAGGTATGGCCAGAAAGCGTCCGGTACGGAGCTTATACGATCAGATTCCTCGGCGCGCGCGCCGCGCCTGGGGTGCAGACGCACACATGGTAGTGGTGTGCTTGGACGATGCCGATTCGAGGTGGGGCGAGCAGGGCAAGGCCGAGACCGACGCGCTGGAGGTCGCGCGTACCCCACTGGGGGAAAGGCGGGGCAAGCGAGCCCAGAATCGAATCCATGAGTCGGATCGGCGATCGACATGAGTCGGATCGGCGGAAATCGGCAGCCAAGTCGGAAGAAGTCGAAATGCAAAAAACGGCAGGCTAGTAAGGCCTCCATTGGGAATCTGGAATCCGAAACGGAATCTGAAGCCGAATCGAATCGGAATACGACTCCGAATCCGTCGAAATCGGATCGGATCGAGTCGGAGGAATCGAAATGAGCCCTGGGGGGCAGGGAGCGCTGGCGCGCCCAGCGGGGGGCGCGAGGCGCAGGGGGGCGTGGCCTGGACGCGGGTGCGCGAGGCGAGGGTGGGGGCTCTGGGACGAGGCTGGCTCGGACGAGGAACGTCGACGCATCAGGGCGCGGAGAGTAAGATACGACGACGACAACGACGACGACGGCGGCGGCGGCGGCGGCGGCGGCGGCGGCGACGGCGGCGGCAACGAGGACGACGAGCGGGAACTCGAGCGCGACAACAGCGAGGGCTCGCACGGACAGGGTCAGGGAACACGAAGGTGGATGAGATCCTGCCAGGACCCTGAGCGCAAAGTTGCCTCAAAGGATCGGTCGGGCCTGGCGTGTACACGCTGTCCACTTGTGGTTAGGCCATGTCGGGCTGGCACCACTCCATCTCTGACGATGCTCCCTGGATTGTATGCGAAGGGCAACCATCATGGAAGAAATGGAAAATCGGCGGCATCGGGCGCAGATCTACCGCTGATGTCGACCACTAGCCGTGCGTGTCACCCTGTTGCGATGTACATAGGCGATGCTCCACGTTCTGAGCAATGACTTCTAGGCCCGAAAATAATACCAACGTGGCGTCGGCAAATCTCCTGCCTCGGCACCTCACGGTGCAACGGGGCCCTGCGCGGTCCGTCCTTACCCCGCCAGCGCGCAGCCGCACGCAGTCCGCCAGCACGCAGCGCACGATTCGAAGAAAGCAGCGCGTGCCACGATCTGTCCCTGGTCCCCCCTATGGATAGGGAGGACAGGGGGGCGGTCCATCCTGCGGGGAGGGGGTCGTGGAGGGGGGCCTCAGGGGAGGTCCCACCTGTGGTGGGGGAGGGTGGTACCGGGTCAGGATACCGTTCCCGCTCGGGGTCCAGGCGGGTCTTGGGGGGGGGAGGGGGGGCAGCGGGGGGTCCCAGGAGAGGTCCCGCCTTCAGGGTCGGCGACACCGGCCGTTGGGCCTTCGCAACAACAACTGCGGTAAGATGCGATCACGCCCAGACCCCAGCGAAAAGCACCGAGTACTGCTCCGCCGCGAAACGAAAAAATATCCGCCACCATAACGCGAGGTGCGAGGAGAGTTTCCCCCAGCTTTCATGTATTCTCTGTCCTGAGTCCTGTATTGTGATACTCCAGGGGCTGGGGCCCCACATGCTCGGACTGTTCGGGCTCCAGTTAGCAGAGCGGCGCTCTGCAAACTTGCCTCAAAGCATACGCACTCGATGCTCCTCCCCTCGTTAGCAAAGTGCTGCTCTGCTAACTGGCCTCAAAGCAAGGTTCCCCATCCTGCTCGGGCTCTGATTAGCAGAGCGCCGCCCTGCGCGTTCACTGCTCCTCCTCCTCCTCCTCCTCCTCCTCCTCCTCCTCCTCCTCCTCCTCCTCCTCCTCCTCCTCCTCCTGCTCCTCCCTCCTCCTCCTCCTCCCTCGTCCTCCTCCTCCTCCTCTTCCTCCTTCTCCTCCTCCTGCTCTCCTCCTCCTCCCTCCTCCTCCTCCGCCTCCTCCTCCTCCTCCTCCTCTTCCTGCTTTTCCTCCTCCTCCTCCTCCTCATCATCATCCTCCTCCTCTCCTTTTCCTCCTCCTCCGCTTCCTCCTCCTGCCCCTCCTCCTCCGCCTCCTCCTCCTCCTCCTCCTCCTCCTCCTCCTCCTCCGTCTCCTCTCCTCCTCCTCCTCCCCCCCTCTCCCCTCCTCCTCCTCCTCCTCTCTCCTCCTCCTCCTCCTCCTCCTCCTCCTCCTCCTCCTCCTCCTCCTCCTCCTCCTCCTCATTCTCCCTCCTCCTCGTCCTCCTCCCCCTCCTCCGCCTCCTCCTCCTGCTCCTCCTCCTCTTCCTGCTTCTCCTCCTCCACCTCCCTTCCTCCTCCTCCTCCTCCTCCTCCTCCTCCTCCTCCTCCTCCTCCTCCTCCTCCTTCTCCTCCTCCTCCTCCTCACTAATGATTCTGAAGTTTACACATTGACAACAGTTTCACGGATGGAGGGCGGGTCGTATTCAAGATGTTGTTCCCGCCTTACCACCGCGCGCATTCGTTTTGCGGGCCGTTTTCAAAATGTGGCCCTCGCCATACCACCGCGCACATTCGTTCCCAACATTTGCATAAATTCGACGGGTTGAGGGCGGGTCGTTTTCATGTGGTTCTCGCTTGAGCACGCCGCACATTCCTTTTACACATTTGGAAGAGATTCACAGATTCAGGGCGGATCATTTTCAAAATGTGATTCTCGCCTTAGCGCGGCGCACATTCGTCTTAAACAGTTGCAAAAGCTTCATGGATTTAGGGCGGGTGGTTTTCAAAATGCGGCTCTCGCCTTAGCGCGGCGCACATTCGTTCACAACAGGTTGAAAAAAGTTTCACGGGTTCCCATCATCAGCGTGCCAGAAATGGTGTTTTGAAAGGATTCAGGGCTACGCGGGGGCAGCAGTTATGCTGATTCGCTGTGTTGAAGTCCCAGAAATGGCGTTCTGGCACGATTCAGGACTGTCAAGGCGCAACAATCAGGTTGATCCGTGGCGTCGGAATTCCGAAAAATGTTTTGGCATGCTTCAGGGTCTTCAAACGGTTGTCTTCCACAAAGGCAATTCCTTCAATGGAAATGAACTGCTGTAAGGACCTATGAAGAGGGAGTTTGGAGGGAGGGTATATTACAACATCGTTGATGACTCCTGGGTTTACACTGGTCATCCTCTTCCTCCTCCTCCTCCTCCTCCTCCTCCTCCTCCTCCTCCTCCTCCTCCTCCTCCTCCTCCTCCTCCTCCTCCTCCTCCTCCTCCCCCTCCTCCTGGGGCCCGCTTGGGAGCCTGTTGGGGCCCTCTTGGGGCTCTCTTGGTGTGGGCCGTCTTGGGGCCCTCTTGGGCCATCTAGGAGCCCTCTTGATCAGTGTCCGGCCCCTTTGGAGGGCCTCTGGGGCAGTCTTGGGACGATACTTGGAGCCTCTTGGACCGTTTGGGGCCCGTCTGGGGGCCGTCTTGGACCGTTTTGGGCCCTTTTGGGGCGCATCTGGGGCCGCCTTGGGACGATCGTTGGGGTTTCTTGGGCCGTCTGGGGCCATTTCTGGGACGGAGAAAAACATGAAAAACCCATAGGGAAATCAATGTTGTTGGCCTCCTGAGACCCTCTCGGGGGCCCTCTTGAAGGCCCCTGGAGCCGTCTCGAGACTCTCTTGGATCGTATGCAGTTCACCTGGAGCTCTCTTGGGGCCGTCATGGGGCCCTCTGAAGCAGTTTGGGGGCCCTCTAGGGCCGTCTTGGGGCCTTTGGGCCGCGTCATTTCAAAAAATACAAGGAAACGCGCCATGAGAGCCGCCCAGGAGCCGCTTCATTCGACATAAAAAATAGGCGCGAGGGCAAGAAGACTTTCGTTCCCCCGCTAGCCCCCTTCCCCTGACCCCCTCCCTATAAGGACTTCGCCCCCTTCGAAACGTCTCGTTCGTACCTCGCTCTTTCCGTCATCCGCCGCCCCCTGTTGGTTCATCACAGGGGTGCCTGGCGTGCTGAATCATTTCGCTTTTGGTTTTGGTTCTTTTCCCAAAAGAACTCTCCCTGGGGTTTCGGCCCGTCCCCCCGGCCACCCGAAAGGGACCTGAACGACCTCAAAAAATCCTCCAAGACGGCTCCAGATGACCTCCAAGATGGCCACGTTGGCCCAGTATGGTCTCCAAGATGGCCCAAGATGGCCTCCAAGTCCGCCAAAGATGGTCCAAGATGGCCTCCAAGGCGGCCCGAGAGAGTCCACGATGCCTTCAAGTTCGCCCAAGAAGCCTCCAACACGGCCCAAGATGGCTTCAAGATGGCTTGAGAGGCCGCCGCCGGCCCAAGACGGCCCAAAAGGCCCCCCAAATCGTCCCAAGAGCGCCCAAGAGGCCTCCAAGATGGGCCCATGACAGCCCAAGAGGCCCCCAAGAGGGCCCCAAGAGTGCGCCTAGAAGAGCCCCAAGAGGGCCGAATATGGCCCCGAAGACGCCCAAGATGGCCTCCACGACGGCCAAGATGGCCTCCAAGATGCCTCCAAGACGGCTAAGAAAGCCTCCAAGACAGCGAAGATGGCCCCAAGATGCACCCAAGAGGGCCCCGGATGGCCGCAAGATGGCCTTAGACTGCCCAAAAGGCCCGCAAAAGGCCTCCAAGACAGCCCAGGAGTCCTCCAAGACGTCCTCCAGGAAGGCCCGAAAAGGTCATAATGGCCTCCAGACGGCCAAGGTGAAGCCCCTGGCGGGCGCTCTTCAGCTGCCCCGCGGCGCGAGGTGGCATCTCCAGACAGGCGGCCAGCGCGCCGCAGCCGAGGTCCTGGGCCACCTCTGCGACGGCGGCCGCCCAGGAAGCCAGGAAAGCTGCGTCTCCGCGCGGAGGCGAGCTGGGCCCCGACGCCCCCTTCGCTGGCCGGCAGCGCCAGCAACGCAAGCGCTGTCTTCCCCAGGTCGCGCCGTAGCAGCGCCTGCCAACTGGCCGCCAGCTGCCGGTCGTAGCGCGCCGTGGCTGCGTCTGCTGCCTGCTCCATGCTCAGGGAGCGCTGTCTCGCTGGCCCCGCGCAAGCCCGTAGCAGCGCGCCTGCCGTCTGTTTGCTGAGCCTGGCTTTGTCTAGTTTCAGCAGCTCGTCTGCAAGGTCCTTCAGCTGGCGCCCTGCCCCCCCCAGGCTGTCCGCTGGCCCCCCCAGGCTGGCTGGCGCGCTAGCGTCCGCGTCTCCAGGCGGGCGCAGGTGTTCCCCGAGCACAGGCAGGCTCGGTGCCCAGCACCTCTGCGGGTTACTCGCCAGAACCCACGGTCATGCAACAGCGGGGGACCACGCTGCTATCTTGCGCTGGTTAAGCCGCAGCCCGAGAGGGCCGATGACCCGCTCTAGGGCCTGCAGCGCGAGTTCGGCCAGTTGCGCGCTGACGACCAGGTAGGAGTCGTCGAGGTAGCAGCCCAGCTTCGCCTCTGAGTCCAAGCGCAGGAGCTCGAGCATGAACCAGTCCACCGCCTCCCTCTGCGCCACTGCAAAGCCAGCAGGCGAGAGCGGGCTCCCTGGTCGAAACCCCGCGCGCTGTCGACAGGGCGGAACTTCCCCGAGGAGTCTCTCCACAGGCGCCGCGCCGAGCCCGCGCCATACCCGGAGGGCAGATGCCACCTCTGCCTCGTGCGCGGACATCGCCGCGACGGCTGGCTCTCGCTCCAGCGACGGGAAGGCGGCCTCGAAGTCAAGCTTGAGGAAGACCGCTGTCCAACTGGTCTCGGATTGGCCCGCTAGCTTCCGCAGCAGCAGCTCTGCTCCGCCAGCCAGCCCGCACTGCCTCTCCCCAGCGGCCTGTCGCAGCTGCTACTTCTGCACGCGCACGAGGAGGCCGAGACGCCGCGCAGCGGCGCTGAGTAGGAGCGGCCTCACCCCATCGTCGCCTTTGCAGCGCGCTGCGACTTCGCAAGGGCGCAGAGCCTGCAAGACGTCGTCGGGCAGCAACCCGAAGGCGACCCAGGCGACGGCTTCTGACAGCCATCCCAAAGCGTCCTCGCAAGAGCCTGCGGCCGCCAGGTGCTCAAGCCGGCAGCCCAGCAGCCCTGGCGCCGTCAGCTTTGGCGGCAGCCAGAGCAGCTTCTCTGTCTCCGCCTGTACTTTTTCGAGCCACTCTGGGCTCGGAGCTGGCCTGGGCGCCGTCTACAGCAGCACTGCGGAGGCGGGGGGGGGTGCGCGCCCGCACCTTTCCCAAGGTCTCCACGGTCCTTGGCGCGAGCTTGGCCAGTGACCGCTCGTAGCGCTCTCCCCTCCTCCCCGGCTGCAGCGAGGGCGTGGACTCTAGCGGTTTTTCGTTTGTCCGTCTGCTTGGCCGCGGCCGTGGGCACTTTCTTACTATGTCGGACGGACGACCAGAGCGCCGTCCATTGGCCGCCCCAGAACCAGGCCCGGCGTTCCTCTAGACTTTCTGCGCAAGTAATCGCCTCCCTGCTGTGGCTGAGAAGGGGGGGGTCCAGCGTCAGGGAAGCCTTCCACTCCTCGCTCGCGTCCCCGTTGCGCCGGGCCTCCCTCGGGACTTCCAACGTCTTCCTCCTGGCTTGGAGGACGGCCCCGCGGAATCGGTCTGAAATCTGCACACAGGTGGTGGCCCCCACGCGTAGGATCTCGTCCCAAGAGAGTTCGGTCCAAAAGGTTTTTTCTGGCAAGCGTGCCTCCTTCCAGCGCGGGTGCGACGGTGCAGCCGCCTGCTCCTCCTCTCCCTTCCTTTCGGGGTCTGCTGGGCGAGGATCTGGCTGTGCAGCCCGGGCTGTCTGCGCCTTTGCTGCCTCTGCATGTTCGTCTGTGCCGTTCCCCCACGGACGGAACTGAGCTGTTTCTGGCAAGCGGCCTTGGAGACAAGAGCCGCAGAACCACCTTGATCACGTCCGGGCGCACACGTACAAATCCTGAGCTCGTCCCTCTGGAATGTCACCCCGCACGTTTTGCAAGTCGTTGGCCTGGTTGAGCGAGCTTGGACGTCAACACACCAAACCGGCGCTCTATATTGCGTGGTGTCGACCTCCATGGCATTTCGTCCTCCTCGTCATTCCTCCCTTCACGAGTCTCCGCTCTCGGCTGTTGTCGTTGCCGACCTCTCGCGGCTACTGCGCCCGTTGCGGCGGGGTTCACCACTGCTTCCATGAATGCTGAAAGAAGGATGCGTGTACCGAGGAGTGGCGTGAAAAATGTAGAAATAGAGGTTTCCCGAGCCGCACCCAGTGGTAACGAGGGATTGGGCTGGGCGCGCGCTCGCGCTTGACGAACGCTTGACAGGCAGACAGACAGACAGACAGAGAGACAGACAGACAGACAGACAGACACGTAGACAGACAGACAGACAGACAGACAGACAGACAGACAGACAGACAGACAGACAGACAGACAGACAGGCAGACAGGCAGGCAGACAGACAGACAGAAAATATCCTATACGACCACCCTTCGGGTGATAAGGAGGTTGTGGGGGGGGAGGGGGGGGGAACCAACATCTGACTCAATCGATCTCACGATCGATCTCACTCCACGGGACACCACGGGACACCACGGGACACGTGTCGATCACACTATCGATCTCACTATCGATCTCACTCAACGGGACACCGCGGAACACCACGGGCCACCACGGGCCACCACGGGACACCGCGGGACACCTCTCGACCTCACTATCGGTCTCACAATCGATCTCACTATCGATCTCACTCAGCGGGACACCATGGGACACCACGGGACACCACGGGACACCTCGGGACACACTATCGATATCACTATCGATCTCACTCAACGGGACACCACGGGACACCACGGGACACCTGTCAATCTTAGTATCGATCTCGCTATCGATCTCACTCAACGGGACACCACGGGACACCACGGGACACCTCGGGGCACCACATCGATCTCAGTATCGATCTCACTATCGATCTCACGATCGATCTCACGATCGATCTCACGATCGATCTCACATCGATCTCCTTATCGATCTCACTATCGATCTCACTCAACGGGACACCATAGGACACCACGGGACACCACGGGACACCTTGGGCCACCGCCGGACGGACGGGCGGAGGAGAAACATGTCTTGACTTCGCCCTAGCAACGGCGGGTTCATTCCTCTCGGGCGCCCACGCAGCTTCGCCTCGCCCGCACGCACGACACGAACGAAACGAAACGATTTCCCGGTTGGGGGGGTCTCCGTTCCACTGCGATCTCACCCCCCAACCTCTGACATATATCGACCCCTGGGTCCGAAAACTCCTGGCCAGAGCTCAAGCCCTCCACCTCGCGAGTCCCCGACGATGTGGCATGCCTCTTTTATAGACAAGCCCTGAGGGTTCTAAGTTCTTCGAGAAGCGGGGCACGCGAAGCACGGGCCCGCGAAACGCACAATATTTGGCGTAATTACGTTCAGGGTTTCTGGAATCGCCCAGGTGTGCTGTAAAGGGACGGAAGGCTGATGAGGAGGCTATGGGTGAGATAACTAAAACATCGCGGGGAGGGAAGCATCGAGGGAATGGTGGGGGGAGAAGGGAAAAGAGCAAGAACAGGATCGATGATTCTATTCTCGGAGGACAGACGTCGTTGACACTTACGCAGCCGCGAGCAGCTGCAACCTAAAAACCACGTGCCCAAGCAATGGGTGCGACAAACAGCCACCGTTCGGGCGCGCAGTCACCGCGCTCTGCAATTATCGTTCATGCGAGCACGCTAATACGTACAGTCCTATCTTTTTGGACTGTACGCGTGTCATTAGCACAGGCGCATATGCCTGCGTTGGCTCAAATTCGACGCTGGGAAAAAACACCTAAAGGGGTGACCGACTCACAAGATACCCCTGGATCGAGCCACTGCCTTGGACAACGATTCCTTGCCTCAAAGCAGAAAGCCCGAGTGAACATTTTCAGAATACACGCAGACGCTCAGGCGACGACGCCCGATAATACATAATCCTATCGAACAAATTCGGCGTGCTGTCGCACGCAACGGACTGTACCCTCTGTCGCAAATTTGCTGAAAGGGACGGCATCGTTGCCTCAAAGATTTCTGGCTACAGACCCCGGTGCTCAGCGCGCTCGGCGCTGTCTCAACACTGATCGGCCCACGTGTCATCAGACACAGGGCGCTTGACCAGCACAAGCTTGGAGAACTCATCTCTAAATCCAGGGCCTGCCAGACGCAATCGCGCAGGCTGGCTGATGACATCCTACTGGGACTAGTACACAAAATTCCAGCTGGCCCCGCACTCTTCTACAACATGGCGGTGCACAAGCTTCGAGGAACTACTTCTGGTACTGGTGTCCGTCGGTTGCGAACTCGCAGGCCATATAGCTGCCAACATCCTTAAAAGGGTGGTAGACGACGTGCCAGGTGGCCCCGCACTCTGGTACGATCGTGGTGCTGAGCAGCTGGGAGAGGTCCATCCAGGCTTCCGCCCCGATCTCCTTGGGGAAACTGGAAATCCGCAGGTGCTACCCAAATGGGGATTTGAAGTGAGAGAACTAAGAAGGTGGGTACAAGGCTGGCACCTTTTAGCAAGGAGGGCAGGGTTGCTGCTTCGCTCTGTTCTGCTGCCCCCACCGGACCAAAGCTCTTCATCTGGTATGCTGAGATGCTGAGGTGCTTTATGAGACAAACTAAAAAGCCCTTGTGCCACGATCCCTGGACTTACACTTTCAGACGGCAGATCTCTCCTGCATGCACATGGATATGAAGCCATCCTCTCCGGTGGCAAGCACCACATCGGGCCGGTTGCAGGACTTGCCCTTCTCGGCATACAGCTCGATGGCCTCCCTCGAGAACACCTCCAGCGGGCCAAGCAGCGGCGTGTTGCCGATGGAGTTCTGTACCCAGTATGGCTTCCTCTGGTCAGCGGAATCCACGGGCCTCTCTCCTCCCCCCAGGACCCGCCCAGCACCCCCCCGCACTCGTCGGCGCGCAAGCGTTCGCCTTTCTGGGACCCTCGAAACTAAAGGATCTGCAGCCTCTGAATACACAAGGGCGCCTAACTTCGCGCTTCGCGCTGCGCGAAGCGCGAATAACCTCGCACTTCGCGCCCTCCAGGGGAGAAGAGGAAGATGAGGAGGAATCAGAGCCTAACTCCGCACCCTCGAGGGCGCCCTTGAATACACTGCTCGCCCTGGCGATATCCTCTTGGGAACGTTGGCCAGGCTCAGCCTCAGCCGCTCGGGGAAGAAGACTGCGTCTGCATCTGCCTTCACGGTCCAGTCGTAGTCTCGGAAGCTGCCGTCCTCGAAGGGAAGGTGGACGAAACGCACGCGGGAGAGAGAGCCGAGACGGAGGACACGGCCAGCCCGTGCAATAAGGATGCGCGGTAAGGATGCAAGAGCCTTGGTGGAAGGCCATGTCGACCCTTTGCGGGCGGGGCGCGGCCAGCGAAAGCGGCCCAGGATGGGCCAAAGGGGAAGGATGCAAGGCTAACTCTGAAAAGTCGCTCATCCTCACTGTGCGGGTGGACTGCAAGGGAGCGAGCGAGCGATGGCAGGCATGAGAGAGGCATCGGGCCACTCTGGGCGCCAGCATGGCAGCGGGCTGGAGCAACGCCCTCGCAACCTGCGCGCTCGCGGCGGCCGCGACGGAGCGGAGCGCACGCCGGCGCCCCCGACGCTCCGAAGGCTCCACGGCACGGCGGGCCGGAACCGCAGAGCGCTGCTGCGGGCTGCTCTGACACGCAGCACGCAGCCTGGAGCGCGCCGACACGGAGCTCAAAGCGCAGACTGGGGAGGAGGTCAGGTCAGGTCAGGTCCGATCGCGGGCGGAGGCCGTACGCGTCCCACAAGTGGAGACGGCGATGGAAAAACAAGTGGAGAAATCGAGAGGGGGGGGGGGGGGCAGGCAAAACATTCGGAAAAGCGTAGGCCAGCACGTGTGCGACCGACACGCGGAGCGCTCGGCGCGGACGTCTTGAACACGGCGTGCTGGGATTCGGCACGGGCGTATGAGGCCGCCGGACAGGGGCCTCCTGGAGCGCGGCGGCTGCCTGCAAGGAACCTCGTGGCACCCGCCTGCTAACTGATTTGCAGACCGCCGCGCCACTGTCGGGATCCACCGAAGGGGGGGTGACCCTTCGGGGGGCACCAGTTCGATCCGCTGGTGCACCGAACTGCCGCAAACGGATGCCCCCCGCATTCCCACCTAGCGGCAACTATTGGGAGTTGCCGGCGTCTGGGGGGCATCTTGGGCGGTTCGGTGCAAAAGCCGATCGAACTCTCACACACACACACACACACACACACACCGGGGCACCCCCACACACACACACACACACACACACACACACACACACAGACACACACCCTCTGCGGGATCCCGACACTGCTCCATCAAAAAGCCCAGCCGACTGCCCAACGCTGAGACCGGACGGCAGGCCGCGCGGCTGAGCCAGCGACGCCCTCGAGCGGCGCCTGTGGGGGGATAGAAAAAGACAGACATCGGCTGTGCGCAAGAGTAGCCGCGGGCAAGAATGACCGTTGGTGCGCAGGCTGCCGATCGATGCACGCGATGCGACAGTTGCGGGCTGTCTGCTTGGGTGTGGCCCCCACGCGCCCCAAGAAAGCCGCGCACCAGAGGTCACTCCGGCGAAGGGTCACTACTCAATGTGGCAGAATGACACTGAAAGCACCACGCCACGCACCTATCACAAGGTGCGCTCAAACCAGCGTTCCCAAGCGCATCCGTCCAGTGGCGACAAGGACTCCCAAAGAGGCCCGAAAAGTAAGGCGGAAAAGGAAATGGGCATCGGTACACCAACTCCGGTGAGGGAGAGGAGAGAGGAAGGGGAGGGAGGGAGGAAGAAGGAGCGAACAAGGAAGGGTGGAAGGAGGAAGGGGGAGAGAGAAGGGCAGGGAAGAAAAAGAGGGAGGACTGCGTGCTGGCCCCGAGGGACCGCGCCGACCGTGGGACACTGCGACCAGACGCCGCTGGAACGGGAAGCCGGCCGAACCATTCGACCTGGCTGGAGGGAAGGACAGACAGATGTCGAGTAGGAGGTCGACTACAGAATTGACTTACCGCAACATTGGCATGCTCGTAGAAGCTGTGACAAATACGCATAATCTTCGTAGATCTACGAACACTCTACATATGTTCCGTAGATCGGACGGCAGTTTCAACTCCGGAGCAAATCCATTCTGTAGTCGATCTCACACTCGAAGGACGGACAGATGGACGGACGGACGTCATCCGACGGCCTGCCTGTGGGCAGCCCGACGGCCTCGGCGGCGGCTGACGCAGCGGGCAGGACCCCCCACCCGCAGCCCTCGGGGCAGCCGTCCGAGGCCCGGCGGCCGCGGGGGCGGGGGGCGAGGACCGCCCTGCCCTAGGCAGGGCCCCGGCGGCCCCTCCCACGGGCCCGCCCGCGGCAGCTCGCGGGAGCCTACCATGCCATCTGGATGGCCCTTGCGGATCAACGCGGGCCGACGCTAAATCGACGCCTTGTCGGCGCTAGCTGGCGCCAGGTGGCGCGAATCGATGCGCATCGACGCCAAATCGACGCTACATCGGCACTTCCTCAGCGATGACCAGACGCCAGCGCACGCTAGTGCACTCTACAGACGGAATGGCGAGGACATCAAGGGCTCCCATGATCTGCTACCGACAGCACCTGCGCCAGAGCCGCGCCGCCCTCGAGGGCGCCAGCGGACGGCGTGGGCCCTGACGAGAACGGCCCCCGCGCACCGTGCCATATGTTTGGGTTCGCTCCAGGCCCCGCTCCAACGCGATGCGTTGCACAATGTTTGGATTCTGAAGGCCAGTAAACTATGCACTGTACTATACGATTCATGGGTCGAGGATCGACGACGTCTCGGGAGACGCCGCGGGTCGGCCAGGCGGACCCTAACGGTCGGGTCGGGCGAGCGGGCGGGTCGCTGAAGCGCCTGTCCTGCGTGAATCGCGAGATAGTTTCTAACGACATCACGATTCCCAAATAAATCATGAGGAAGTCCGAAGAGGGGGCGTGAATCCTGAATGTCGTGGGCGCGGCGTCTCAATAAGCTGAGAGGAGGTCCCACGCGAGAGAGCACATTCTGGATATAGTGTGAAGAAGTATCGCGAGCGCGATTTCGAGTAAATTGTAAGACGGTATCAGGCGGGAGCCGATGTTGCTGTAGTTCGGGGGCCAGGGGGCCAGTCCCTGGCGCGAGACTTCACCTTGTAAAAAACAAGGTGCGAGCCCCAGGGGGGCACTTCAATTTAAAAACGCATGTGCTGCCGGAGGAAGGGGGATCAACAGTCTTTATTTTTTGATAATGAGAATTCGGCAAAAAATCCGCGAGCGAGGAAAAGCGCCCGCCTCACAACAATAACAAGAAGGATGTCCACGCATGACTCCAGGCAGCCGAGAAGGAGTCGCAGACTTCTGGGCGAATCGGCCGAGTGCGCCGTCGTCGTTCGAGTTGGTCTCGCCCAGCGAGAAAGGTCCACTGAAGCGGCACGGAAGAACGGAAAGAACGAAGTGCACATTATGTTCGCCATCTGAGTAAGATGGACCCTCGGATACCTGTGTTCCCTGCACGTTGAAAAGACAAGCCTCAAAATGGGTGCCACTGCCGAAGAACTGCCACCATCGTGTGGCCCTTGGCGATCACCGGAGTCACCTGACCTAGCTCGGCCTTCTTTCGCGCGCGAGGATACCACGCGTGAAACAACGAACTCCGAGTGGAACTGTACGTCACTCAATCAAAAAGGGTTTACCAAGCAGGTGCAGGAAGTGCCGATCAACAAAAATACACGCGAGTTATACTGGACAGTGGCTCAAGGGCCCCACAAATAGGCCCAACGAACCATGGCACGAGTAACGGCAGCAGGTGGAACGGGAAGAACCTGCAAAAGAAGGAGCGTAGATTGAAAATCGTGATCTTTAGTCTCAGGGAAAGGAAGGCTCACTGAACGGAGCACGAGGGGGATCGCGAAGGCGAAAGAGACGGACAAGGCATGTGTGGAAAGGATGGGCGGGCGAACGGAGAATGCAAATGTTCGCGCGCCGTGTGCGGTCCTCGACGATGACATTCCACGCTTTCACGAAAGGCTCGGTATTCAGCACTGAACCCCATGCCGAAGGCGGAGATTCGATTGCGCCCAAAGCGGTCGTCTCGGTCCCATCACTGAGCCTGCGCGACAGGTCTATTCCCTCATGTCCCTTCCCTTATGTCACCTTCCTCTCCCCTCCCCTTCCTAAAATCCGCCACCGTGCATCCAGCTCGTTAGTTGTCTGCTGGTATTGCTGTAATCATCCTGTCGTAGCGCATCCGCGTGAATGGATCACCCTCTAAACACTTTGCTTGCTGGCACTCGTCGCGGCCTCAAGAAGGCCCAAAGACCAACCAATACACACCCGAAGTGCAACCGCTGTGGCCCACAGACCCCGAGGGCCACCAAGATGTCACCAAAACGCCCAACAATCCAAAAGAAGTCCCGAAGGGATCCTGTCTGGTGGCCCTCCAACAAGACACTGGGAGGGCACAGGCATTGGAAACCTGCCGGAGGAGAACCAAGAAAATGTTCCCCGAAACCTCTTTGTACGTGGGTGCTCGTTGTTGCATAGCGCGTTGGTGCTGCTGCTGCTGCTCTCCCATCCCCTCCTCGCACACATCCCCTCCTGCATCCTGTCATTAGTTTCCTTCTCTCGGTTGTTTGCGGTTTTCCTGCGTTACTTCTGCGTTTTCTAGTCTCTGCCAGCTGCTGTAAGCTCCTGGGGGGGCCCATCGGAACGCGACCCGACGCAGGCCCAAAACGGAACCTCGCTTCCGCCGGCGCTGCCCATTGCGCAGGTGCCGCCACTTTCGTGCGCTCCTGGGGGGTCCACCTGCATGTGGTCCCACGCAAACCCAAGCGACATTTCGTCTTCCCTGGATGCTGCCATTTGCGCACCTAGCGCCGTTTCCGCGACCCCAGGGAAGCGCGGTGTTACGGACAGCGAAAGGAGACATCGCCCCACCAGGATGCTGTCGGCTGCGCAAATGCGGGAACACGCGTGAGAGGGGTCTAAGGGCACAGTCCGACAACGACCCAAACGAAAACCCCATCATCCCTGCGCTGGATGCAAGCAGCTGCCAAGGTGTCGCCACATTTGTGAACTCGCAGGGGGCCCAGCGGAGCGCATTCCTACGCAGGCCCGAAAGTGGCCTCGCCGACCTCCTCCTCCAGGCGGTGCCAGCTGCGCTTGTGTCACAAGTGTCACTGGGAAACCAAAGTGTCCCGATGCCGCTAATCCCCACATTTCTTCTGGGGCGCCGTCTGACCGGGATTTCGAGCGAATCCAGGGGTGGCGACGAGTGCCTCCCAGGAGGCCGACAAGGTGGAAAACGAGGCCCGGAAGGTAGCGGCATAGGTACCTTTCCCCCTCCGAATCACGACTTCCTGTGGCTCCAACGGAACGCAAGTCCTGCGCGGACCCACACGCGACCTCGCCCTCTTTCTTAGATGCCGCCATCGATTGCGGCGGCCGCCCCTCTCGTCAGCTCCTCTGGCGGGCCCAACGGAGCGCGGTCTTACGCGAGGACCACGATGAGATCTCCACCCCCTTTAGGCGGCGAGCCCAGGAGCGAAGCGAGAAAGGGCGGGCCTTCATTGAAGGCTCGGAAAACCAGGTATTTGCCAGAGAAACGGAGTCCCTTGCAAATGTGGGATGTGATGCTGATGATATAGCTAATATCGGTTTCATCCGTACTGTGGAAAACACGTATCGACATGGCGGTAGGGCCCGTTGAGCTAGAATGCGTAGGATTCTTGCACGGGAAGGGGAGACGACGACACGGCGACGACCCGGCGCACGCTCCGCTTTCCTCGCAACAGGTTTAACAACTCCCCCCGCGGCGGGATGCGTAGGCCCGAAGTCTGGGCTCCGTTCGGAGCTCCTCGGGTTCGCGTCACACCCAAGCAGTTTGGCCTCCGCGGCGCCCAAGCCCAAAAACAATTTTACGGCGCACAGGGCGGAGTAACATTTACTACCACAGGAGCTCCCTTGAAGAGGGCCGCAGCAAACCGACGTCTCCCACACCAGAAGGGCGCCCCGTGTCAAAATTGAATGTTCATGTCCAGGGTCGGAACAATTGTCTCGCTTTTGTTCGACAGGTAAGGCCCATGCCGGTTGAACCGGCCTCGCCTCCTCCTCTGCGCAAACCATCGACGATTTCGTGACCAAACATACAGGCGTACTCATTTGCATTCCAATATTGCCACATCCGTTTGTTGCTACTGTCAACCCAGTAGTCACTGTTGTTCACATGGTATCTAATGCTGAGATTTGCCCTAGCGGCAAGTCTCCGCGGCATCGCAATTCCCCGGCATCTCAAAGCTGGCTCGACGCTGAAGAGCAGAAGCATCATCAGCAGAGGCGACTCGCGGCAGATCTCCTGCCCGCGATTCATCTGCATCGCCACGCACAACATCAGCCCACTCCCTGCGCATTCTCGAAACGGCAGGGGGCCGAGGCCGGGACTGCGCCATGCTCTCGCGCGGGCAGCGGCTCCTCGTTGGCGCCGACGGCGGCGTCGGCGGCGCAGGGCGGCGCGGCGCCTGCCCCGGCGACGGCCGGCGGGGGGCCCCTCCCATCAGCGGCCGCAGCCGGCGGCGCGGCCGGCAGCAGCGCAGCACCCTGGAAGACAGGCCGTGAAACACCGGCTGACCCGGCGGCCACGCCTGCCGCAGGCTCTAATACCATCGCTTCACATGATCCAGGCGCGGGCGGCACCGCCGGCTTAGCCAGCAGCGTCCACCGTGGCCCCCACTGAGGCAAGACTAGCAGCTGCGGGCACTCCGCTGGCAGGCGCCGCCGGTTCTGCGCCGAGAGCACTAGGCGAGCTCTGGGCTCGAATGCCGATCTGCGCTTCAATGTCAGCGAGAGCTGAGGCAATGTTCCCACCAACAACATCAAGTGGGTCTCCGATCGGCTGAACCGATAAAGGAAACCTTCGCGGTTTGCACACCCTCGAAATACCGAGCGCAATCGCAACAGCACTCGTCATATACGGTAATCAATATATCACAAAATCCAGCGCGATCGCCAGTCCGTTCTTCATTCCATTCGACCTTACCCTCGAAAATAATATTGCATTCCTGGATCGATCTCGAAGCGTTGCCCTCCTGGGATCTGAAATTGAACCCCATACCCTTGATGCATTGCTCTACCAGACCTGAGCTTCTGACTACCTCTCCTATCTTTACCTGGGGCAATGTTCCGATCCGAACGACGTTTGCAAATTGACTGGATCGCCAGGGAACGCAACATATCGACGTCCCACAATGCACCCTTCAACGCTCCCTCGAACAACCCCTAGACTTCTGACTGGTTCCACATGACGAGAATGGTCGGTGATCTTGCCATCCAAGAATGACCCAAGCATTCTGCAAACTGTTCGCTGAAGTCTGCAGCATCATTGCCCCCCCCCCCTTTCTTCAAATTCTCCAACATGCATTTGCACGCAGCATGTTTTGCAGCAAACACTGACGTTTATACAGGAGTTGCAGCGGCGGGGTCAGTAATTACGTCTGGAATTGCCTGATCGTCTTTTCCTTGAGATCGCGTCTCCATGACTTCTTCCCCCTCAAGGTCATCCCCCACCGCTTTGTTCCAATAGAGCTGCGGCCCCCCGCGCGCCAGGTTGAACGCGAAAGGGTCGCCTTTGAGATATTCGATGTCGTTTTGGTGCGCGAGCCTGGTTGCCACGGGATATCGATCATCCTGCGGATCAATCATCCTGCGGATCAGGGCCCACTGGGGGCATGACCGAGCCGCGGAACGTTGATTGGTCAGCCCCCAGGCTCGCCAAAACATCCTTCCGTCTTGCGATCGATCTCGATGCGCGACGCGGGCGGGCCCCGAAATTCTCCCACGTTCATTGCCGGGAACCCCGTTAAGCAAGCGCCGGCCATGGGCTGGCCGCCCCCGCCTGGTCTGTCGGGCCCACTGTTGAACAGGCCCCCGCAAGCCAGCTGGCGGCAGGGCGTTTAGCGCCCTGCGCAACCAAATTCATCCTCCCAGGCTCGCCATCCACCTGCAGGGAGAACATGCTCGTCGCCCGCCCCTGCCCATGCTAATGCTACTAAAGGAGGACGTGACATCAGCGCGGCAGTCCGATCAGTGCGTCGCCAAGGAAATGGCCGCCAATCAGCGGTCCTCGCATCGTCTTTCTTCCGTCTGTTATATGGAAAGAACTGCGTTTGAAAGGTTCTAGATATCGAACGCATGGTTCATGACGCGCAGGAAATTTATCACCGACGTTCTCGGCTCTCCATGATGGAACAGGTCCAGGCTGATTGGCAAGATAGGCAATGCCCGCTTTCGACGTTACAAGCCGAACCTCCTTCTTCTCAATACATCGCCTTCTGTGCTTGTCATATTCTTCAAGTTCATGTTTGCAAGCATCGAAGCAGTCCCTGCTCTGTGCGTCTATCCGTTATTTCAAGAGTTCGCTCCCAAGCTTAACCGGCCTCGCGAGACCTCGCTGCCGCATGCATGAATCAAACTGCTCGGACAACTTGATGCTATGCTAAGCATGTGAATTTCCGAGACCTGAGACAGTTACCTCACGCGGCAGACAGCCACCGAATCCTGTACGAAATCTTTGCAAGTTGATGCAAATGTAGCGCCCATCGTCGCCCCGCGGAAGAATGTAGAAATCGCAATCCGCCTCTGCGATGGCATCGTCGCCAAGAACTGGGCGAATTTGTCCGTTAGAGTGAAGATTTGGCACTGCCGCAGTCAAGTTCAATATTCTGGTAAACCCAACTATCATCGCACAATTTAATCGACGTCGACCCTGCAGCACCATCATCACGTTGGAAGGCTATGATCCTGGAAATATCGACCCACTTGGGCCTCTGCTTCGAAACCAACGCCCCGTCAGGCACCACCCGAAATTCGCTTGTCAGAGACACCGGATCGCGGGAAATCAGAATGCTGCCCCACTGCGTCTGATGGCGCACAATCCACAAGTGGCCCGTAGATTCAGGGCCCAATCGCCTCGACAACGAAAAGGCCGCACGTTGAGCGTGACCGACCGTAGTGGGCGGGCCATCTCCGACGGATTGCCCCCGCGAGCTGAGCCAGTGGGGGGCCGCGTCCTTTGCGTCATCTGATGAAATGTGTTCATCGCATGGAGTAGCCGCA